AGAGCTACCGGGTAAGTTCACGTCTTCGCACATTGATATCGATGCACTTATTTTTTCTTGAATGTATATTTATCAATTTTGTTTTCTTCTCTTGCATGCATGCATGGCATGGATAATTTATGATTTGACACTCAGGTTGCGATAAAAATAACAACAGTAATAGATTGTAACCGCTTTGTAAAATAAAATTATTTTTTTAATTCTAATTTATATTGATTACATTATTTTTTGAAATATGTAACTTTTATCAGTGCTTCTATGTCTTCTATCAATATCTAGATTTTTAAGATATGTATTCGCTTATAATGTTCCAAAATCTTATTTTGCAGTAGAGCTAACTAATTTCAACGAATACAATAACAAGTATTCGTTCTTTGTAGAAATGTACTCCACTTTAATATATGCGTACTTTAATTATTCTGTTTTGATGAATAGGAAGGACAATGGACTTCACATTTGATCTATCACAGACACCAGTGATCGGTCGACGTTGGTTAATCCGTCAAGGTATTGACGAAAAATCAATCAGTTCACGACGTTGCTCATTATCCTTGTCACCAGCTGACAGTGGCGCAATCGCTGGTTGGAAGAGGCCTTGGGATGTCACAGGTATAATTATATTAACAATTTCTTGAAGAAAAAATTTATTATGATTGTAACTAAAATAAAAAATATTTAATTAATATTTATTTTTATGCCTTAGAATCTCATATTATTAACATTTGGTAGACCTAAAACATTAGATTGCACATTTTCTTTACTGCGATGCATTGAAATATTCTTATATTCTAAAATTTGAGATCATTTTTTTGTTTAAAATATAAAATTTTAATGCTTTGCAGCAAAGCCAATGTACATTCTAAAGTTCTAATCTAACAAATGTTATGATATAATATTATAAAGCATAGAAATGAATAAAATGTATATTAATGTTAAAATATTTAAATCAAGTTTCAATTTTTTAGCTTAAAATATACGTAATATTAGATTTTAGAAATGCTTATTTACAAAATTTGATATAATATTGTATATAAGCATTGAATCACACACGTAAAATTGTTTTCCAACAGGGTCGTGTCAGAGAGTGCTTAGTGAACTTATTGACGACGTGTGGACAACGAGTTGGATTACCAAAGAGCCCATCGGTATGTTTTTACATGCGATACGCTTTTCAGTTAATAATTCGAGTAGTGTAAATGTTCCTACATCCTATGGTTTGCGCGGATTATGTACCTTACCAAAGAACAACTGACATCTCATTATGTACCCCTTTCTAGGATGAGCACATTAGTTCAATGACATTGTATAGCAAGGTAAAAGGTTACTTTTAAATGCAACCTGCACACCTACTGTAATTCACAGTAATACAAGTACTTGTACTCGTAATTAATTGCAGTGTACCATGAATCGTACTTTCACGCTTCAACTAGCTTCAAATGTTTTCACTTGCACATTGTTGCAGGAACAAAAAAGAAATGTGTTCACGCATTTGTGCAAGGTCTTATGAAGTGATAGTAGCAGTACTTTCTAGCACCACACACACTTGGGATCCGTTATCTTTTGACACCTTGTCGTATTCAAATTTTGCAAACAATAATTTGTATAATAATTATTATTATAAGATTACTCGACACGTAGTTTCCGTGATCTGATGACAATGTGTTGTGTCAGTGCAGTTGGTGTAAAACAATGTGTCATTTTCCGTGATTTCATATACAGGTTGCTCTACTATATAGTAACTATTGCAACAGTTACTAATTCTAAACAGTTTTAAGATAAGCATGTGTTACCATTTTTTTATTTTTTTATTTTTGACATTTATGTAAATTAGACACGTTGTAATTTGTTGAACTATAATATTTAAACAATTATTTGTGCTTTGATATTCAAAAATAGTTGCTATTGTTTATTTCTTAAAATCTGAGAGAACTGCGATAGTCGTAGAGCATTCTGTATGCGTAATTAGTTATTGTAAGACACGTTTGTGCACAATTATCGATTACTTTGACAAATTCACGTAGTTAATCGAAATTGAGATATATTGTTGAAGGCAACTAATTGAGAGATTCAATCGAGAAGCAAAAAATATAAGTTGTATGTAGTATTGTATTGAGTATTATTTAGTATTATACTGTAAAAATGTCTTTTTTAGTGTAAAAGATAAAAATATTAATTATTGATTTTGTACTCGTAATATTATCACTTATATATTTGCTTCTAATTTCTTCAAATTTTTTTTTACATATATGTTTTTCATGTGTTAACAATTTTAAATTCAGGTCATATTCAGTCAAAGTTCGGATTTGATGGAAAGACAATCATCTATGGCTTCCTCAACGGAGGAGGTTTCTGGCGCGAATAACGACTTGAGCGGAGGATCTAGACGGGACGATGAACAATTTGGCGTATTTAAAGACTTCGACTTTCTTGAATATGAGAGCGAAAGTGTCGAGGTAAGTCATAGTGCTTTAATGCATATTTCGATTAAAAAATATTATCTTAAATTATTTATTATGAAACATCAATAATAAATCGCAGGGTGAGAGCACGGATAATTTCAACTGGGGAGTCCGACGTCGTCCTCTTAGCGAAGGAGAGGAGCGAGAACCCAGTTTACGACAGTTCGAGGAAAGTTTGAGCGAGAAGACACCGTCGTCCAGCAAACACACAACACGGGTAAATTTAAAAAAAATTAAAAATTAGTTTTGCTATATCATATTTCTATTTTTATATTTTATATGATATTCTTGTGTATATGTAGCGTGGTGTCGCCGAAGAATCATCGGACGACGAAGCGGGATCGGAATCACCGTTGGACGAAGTACCGGGTGGCTCTGGAACAAGCCAGGAGGCGAACAGCATTCCCGGAATGTTCCCGCCATCATCTCTCTCGCTGATACCTAGTCGCACGCGTCACGATTCATCCACAAGGTCTGACACATCGTAAGTTTCTGTATGAAGACTCTTGGAAACGCGCGTATTAATCGATTCATTCGAATCTTTTGCTCACAGTGGCTCGAGCGCGGGAGACCTCGGAGACGTGACACCCTGCAACGCATCGCCCAACCTGTCCGCGTTAATGCCTTTCCGACAGGTCGTACGAGACGATGCGGAAGAGATCTGGAGGCAGCAAATTCAAAGTCTCATTACTCAAGCTCCGTACAACACTTTGAGCTTTTTCCAATTGTTGAGCAAAATTCTGAGAGTAAGTGTCGTGAAAATCGTGCTAAAACTAATTTGTTTGACCAAAAAGTGACTTAATACTAATACAAAAAGATGGATAAAATTTTATACAATTTAGATTATTATTTTTCTTGAAAAGATATTAGAGAATTGTTATGTTTCATAGGATGTGAGCAGCAAATCTGTCGGTCTCACGCGCGAAGCGAGCGCTCTGCTCAGCAACGGCAGTCCGACTTCGTCTCATTTGGGCGCCCATTTATCTAGTCATGCCGAACTGCTCAGTTCGAAAGCTGAACCGCCTCTAGTATGGTTTTCAGTTGCAATATTTGCGAATCAACGACTGAACGAGACGTTGCGCTTCGGAATGCTGGAGGTACAGGAGCATCTAGAGACATTTTTGGATAGGAAAGATCACGCTACAGAGGTGAGTCTTATTAACGCACGTCGCGATGTTTGTTTAACACAAATAATCACGATTGTTGGTTTTCTTCTCAGTGTTTGGAGGCAGCTAAAGCGACTGCTAAACTTCAGGCGTTGGGCGGCAGTCACACCACAGAAGCGGGCGTTGAAGAGATGCTACTGGACTTGGGTAGGGCACTTTACAAACTGCACTTCCAACTTCTGCTGTTGATTGAAGCATCAAACAAGATGTTAGGGGCACTAATGAACGCCGCTAGAAACGTACAAATTCCCCTGCAAGATCTGTCTGTCGAAATTGCCAATATGAAGATAGCATTAAGCAGAGCGCTCGAAGAGAGCACCGAGAGTGAACGAGGGACGCCCACTCCGACGCCAAGTCCTAGCCCTCTGCCAGGTACCGGAGCTGTGGAGGAAGTCGCCAGAGTCGCCGAACTTTTAAGAAACGCGCGGTGGTGTCCAGCGCTCGAAGCCGTGAGGCTGCACAGAGCACAGTGGCCCGGAGATCCTTTCCACGACGACGACGATGTGACGACTGCCGTTAATATGTACTGCAAATATATAGGTCAGGATAGGTCGGGTGAGTTTCGAAATTGTTAAGTATTTTTCAACTTGGTGGAAGATAAGAAAAAAAATTTGAATGTGTAATTTCAATAAAGGAAATAAATTACACACTTTTTTAATATAACTCACTAATTTATTGCCTATGCAATGCATTACTCATTTTTATATCTGCATAATTTATTTTTGGATATAACGTAATATATTATATTTAATACATATCAATTTTTTGTATTTATTAATGTTTTAGATATATTTGTTGTGACGAGAAAGGACGACGAGATGTCAGAAATATTTGGCAGACTGATGGAGAGCCTGTTCGAAGTTTTGGCGGCTGTGACAGGATTAGAAGCATCCACGAAAGCCGCACGCAATCAGCATGACCACTCTAATCACTCCAAAAATGACTGTTAATATAAGCTTTAATGATATAGTATTACGAATCGTTCGTTTACACTTAAGCCGATATATATATTTCACTGTCATACGTACGTGTGTAGGTATCTTGTATACGATTGTAGTTGAATATATGTACATCACGATAAAGTTACGAATTGTAAGCATGACGAGTACATAGAACATGCATATAAACAAGCTTATGATTCTGTTTTTTTTTATTTTTTTTTTTTTGACACGAAGAATGTAACGCGAATTGCTATTGGTTGTATATTTGGTGAAATAAATTATTGAAATCTTGAAGAGAGTATTATAATATTTATTCTCTGTAGAATTATTTAGTACATAATTATGCAAAATGCACGATCAGTTTATTCGTGGGTCATTTGAAAAGTTTTCGAAATTAAATAGTATTAATATAGATTTTGGAGAATTGCCGATTAAAAGGTGCTAATAAGATAATGTCCTTGTTAAAATATTTTAATTGGAAAAATAAAAAAATTGTCTTTATTTCTTCATTTAATGAAGTAAGAGAAGCAGTTGACGGATATTTTTGCAGTTGCAGATCCTGTGATGAATCAAAGATCAGAGTTTCATAATGCATTTATGTATTTTATATATATAAGTGTATTGCTATTGAGAAATAAAAATAATTTTAAATAAATATATTTCGATTTATTTTCCTATTTTATTCTGAGAACTTTTTAAATAACCTGTGTACAAACTATAAATTCTTTAATTGTTACTTCTATTAATCGCTCTTAACACAATTTGTTAGGATCATCAACTTTCGCTCAGCTAGCTTGAAACAAAGTGGTCCACGTGTGGAAATATCAATGTGCGAAACGGATTACAGTGCGTGAAAGAGAAGATGCTCAGATGGTACCAATTACCAGACAATTAAAAAAAATAGATCGTCGAAGGAAAGAAGAAATAAAAGGTATATTTTATTACATTTTTTTGCGGCAGGCTCTATAGAGTTGGATGTTCCACATAGAATTTATTGGCCTCAACACAAAAAGACCGCCAAATTTTACATATGTATATCGCGGGCTCTTTGGAGCATACTCACACCAATATATCCGGAGCAATATATGTGACCGTCAGCGTGCTCTTCTACATCATAACGAGTCGCATGCAGCCGCTGTACTTTCCAGTCGACGTTAGTTTGTTATGTGTATTTTCAGCTCTCCCCCCTCGCTTTCGAGTACGTCGACTACGCGTTGATGAGAACGAGCGATTCTGGAAAATATCTGGAGAATCACTTTAACATATTTTCCCCATACTTTGAATGTTTTTAAGTTAGAACACTATATTGCACGGCAACAAGATTTGATATATATATATTGTATCCGTTTTTTGTACTTATATTTGCGAGTTTAAAATTTATTTATCGGTATATAAACAATAAATATTAATATTTTGCAATAAAATTGAGAATTTATTATTTGTTTTAAATAAGTTTATCTTTATGTCATGACTGAAATAAGAAAAGTATAATTCCGAATATTAAAACCATCAATTCTGAAACAAAATCGCATCGGCATCGAAAAGAGCGTACAGCATCGCATTAAATCATTGTCGCACTTGATGCATTTAGTGCAATTTCTCATTGCGTATAATTATTTCGGCAACTATTATTTTGTGAAATATTTTAGAAACAATCTTTAAAGATCGTCAAAGAGTCATAGCAAATCTCGATAACCGCTGTTGGTCACCATAAAAAAAGCGGCCTGCAAACACGAGTTAATAACACTGATTTGAGACAGCCTTATCATGGTAAACTCCGTACGTGCAACGATCGTATTGCAGTCCATTGTAATTTGCTCTGTGAAAATAAAAAATATATGTTATATCATCGAAAAAGGGCTTTTGTCTGTATTAAACTTCAAGTAAAAGAAATTTCGAGAAGTCTCTGTCTTCGCGAATATAAAACTTCACGGTCGGCGCGCATTGCTCTCTTCGCTTTGCTCTCGTAGTTAACACTGATGTACAGTGTATTCGCCGTGTATTTCAGCGATGTGCTGATCAAACGATTCGCACCTCGACTCGACATGCATCGCTCGTCGCTCGCTCCAAGCATCTTGCAAAATGTTCACCGCCGTACATCGGCTATCTTTGGCTACCTTGTTGACCGATCATCTACGCGCTGCAACTTGAAAGATGCTTACTCCATGCATCATGCAACTATACCATTGTGATCGCTATAATTGGTTAAAAATTGTGCACAAGTGTATTTTATTTGGCAACATTCCCGAAAATATTTAGAAAAATTTTTAATCTATTGAATAGTATCGAAAAAAGTGATGAAAATTTTATTTATTAATTTTATCGGGGAAAAACATGAAAAACAGGTCAACATTTTTCTATGGCATTTCTCAAACGGCTTTCTCAATAAATTATTGAAACGAGTTTGTCAACGCTTACAACATTGTCATCTCACTTCAAAGTTACGTGTGAGATATCCAACAACAACAACAAATACGTAAATACACAAATACACAAATTAATAATTTTACATTAAAATCATGTAAGAATATTATAAATATAATTAATTATTGTAGATTTTTTGTCTTAAAATGGATGAGTTAGATTATTAATCAAAATAACAAAGTTTACATTCTAATATCAAAACATTTTGATAAAAATATAACTTTAACATAATTACAATTCATGACTGTAAAAAGCAGAAAATCTTTTCTTTTGCAATATTGTATAAGCGAAATGCTATTTTAATGTCACTATTGTCTATAGATGAAAAATTAAAGAGAATCAAACAACTATTATGTTTACAAAGCAATCTGTTAAATCAAAAAGCGTTTGATAGATTCAAAAATAACTATTCTTTATTTCTCATAAAAAACAATAATTAAATATATTACACAGAAAGCGAGTTCCTGAAATATCAACTTTTTTCACACATGTCAGAGCAAAACATTTCCACAAATTATTGTGGAAATATTGAAGAAAAAATAACATATGTTAAGATTATATATATATATAGATTAATGTTAAATATTAGATAAATGTAAAATTGAAAATAATTGAACCAAAATTAAAACAATTTAAAATTAATAAATAATATTTAATACAACAATCAGAGAAGGATTACAAAAATTATTAATATATGAATGCATGTGAACAACAAATAAAATTATTATCTTCCTTTCATTAGATGCTTGACTTTACATACTGTATTATGTTTATTAGCTTTACGTAAGGGTCCCATACATTGTGACATATCTACTGTATTCCTGAATTCGCTTTTTTATTTTTGTTTAACAGCATCAATTAGTCTTATGTCACTTGTCACATAACTTTGAACAAATTTACTTACCTAAAGTATATTAATATATGAATTAACAGACGATACTAATAAATAGAAGTTTTTCTCATATTACAGATAAAGAAATGATAAATTGCTGTGTTAGTACATTTGGATTACATATGTCACGTATGTGATAAATTAAACATATATAAGCATAATATAAAAAGTCATATAATGCATATAGAAAAATATACCTCTTGTAATTGGTCTACGTCATGCTTGTGTGTTATAATAACAATTAATATGGCAATTCGGTAAACTTCCCTATAAAAACAGAATAATATTTAACAAATACAACAAATATTCAGAAGTAATAAAATATATTAATAAATAAAAAATGTATCACTTTATACTGTATTTAAAGACGTCGTATATATACTCGAGCACTGCTTGATTTTTTGCATGTTTCACAATAATGAGAAGAAAAATATTAACACGGTTCTTGTCTAGTTGGTTTAATTGGACCATATTTTGTAATATTTGTGTAACAAAAATTCTAATAATATTAATATTTGTAGAACAAGTTAAGTATTTTGAAAATGTATTATCAAATGTGTCCATCGATTTACTCAACACTTTCCACCAAATACTCCCGTTTGCTGACATTAAACCTTTGCAATAAATCCATTCTCTCCATTTCAGTGGTCTGCATTACCAGGGAAAAAGAAATATTCTATACAAATATTTAACTAGACTACAATATTTTGTAAGTGTTTAATATTAAAATTATTTATTTAGCATAGAGCAATAATGCCACAAAATTTCTTTATACGCGATTGTAAAACAACTTACTTGTCTTGTACAGAACTTTCAAGAACTTCTCTTAATTTATTAGCGGCTATTCTTCTGCATTCAGGATCACCGAGAACACATAACCATTTTACAGCTTCTTCTCTTAAATTTTGAGTAAAATCACTTTCGTGAACTTTATCATTATATCCTATATTATGCAGAAGATGAAAGAAAACTTCCATAATTTTCATCTAAAAATTGTTAAATAATTGAAATATTAACTACACTTTTATTAAAAAAAAAATGATGTAAATATAATTAAATATATACATATTTATTTGAACTCTGTTAATATACAGTGCTTTAAAATAATACTTTTCTGTAGCAATTTATTTTAATTATAATTTACCTTTATGTTATCATTATTTTGAACTGGCCAGATACACGTCATATATTCGACAGCTTTAATCATAGGATACCATGCTATGTAGTCCGTATCATGAAATAGGAAGCTTGTAATATTCCAAAACAAGTTGAAGCTGAGGTTTCTTTGCATCAAAAAATAAAACGCATCATCAATGATTTGAGCTCGATTCAGAACATGAATACTGCTATAATTTACAGAGGACAAATAGTGCATAAGATTTTTCCAGTTATCCAAATCATAATTGACGCGATAGTATCCTGTTACATAGAGAAATAATTTTTCATGTTTTAAATTTATCGATAAAGTTTATCAAAAGATGTATAATAGTAAACATTTCAAACATTTTTTTAAATTATTTACTTCATAATAAAATATTTTTTTAAAAATATTTTAAAAAATGCTTATTGTGAGTTATTTGTTGCAATGTAATTTTTGTTACTATTTTATCACTTTTAGTGACTTAAGTTGTGGAAAAAGCTTTGCAGGAATTTTAATTATTCTGGTTACATACATGTAATTAATTTTGAACAATATTAAAAAATAATCATTATAACAAGAAAATAAAAATAAAAATAGATTAAAGTATTGTAAAATTCTGGTTGTATTAAATATAAAATTTGGGATGTAATACGATTGTTTACGATTGTATATTTACCAATTTGTTCTAAATTGACTATAATCCAGTCAATTATGTCAAATTTTTTTTTTACGAACCACGGTCTTTTCCAATCAAACAAAAAGGAATTATAGTCATTTGATTTTGTCGTATATGTCACTAATGTTAAAAATGTCACTTTTTCATCGAGTGTAGAATTAATAGAAGTGAATATTGTCAAGGCTTTCAAATAATTTCGTTCCACGAACAGATGAGAATATTTTTGTTCAGTGAATATCCAAATATTCATTATATCTGTTATATTTAAATATATGTTATATTTATTCTGTTGTAGGTTGCTGCCATTTCGATTATCGAAAACACTTTGTATAATATTCCACAATTGATCGATGTATATATTTGACTGATTATATCTATAAAAATATGTTTTTTACAGCGTACAACACGTGATCATTTATTAGCTAAAAAAAATTATTATTTAATTTATTCAAATATACAATTGTGTTTGTAAAATAAAAAATGTATATAAATATTTAAAAACATTATATTTGGTTTAAGATTTAAAAATAGTCTTTGCGTTTCTCGTCCAATAATTACGAATTAAGTAAATTTTTTTTTAATTATATTGTAGACAGAAATCATTACTTATCAAAATACCTCATTTGCAGATATTTTTATTACTTTTATTTTTTTTAAATTAGTCTCAAAGTCATAAATATATATTAATAAACTTGGAGTTATGTAAAGAATATAATATTTTATTTATCTATAACTTGAAACGTGAGTTTTCAAAATACTATTAAAGTTAAATTGTACAAATTTAAAAAAATTAATTATTTTAATTTAGATAAGTACAAATAAATTTTCAATAGTCGAACATATATTGTTTACAGAGTTATAGATAATAGATAGCTCAATAGATTTTAAACAATTTATATATATCTTTTGACTACGATATAAATAATGTCATTTTCCTTTAATGTATAATTTTGCTACATAATAATCTTAGATAAAGATATTACTCACTGCATTATATATGTGCGAATCCCAGTCCAGAACACATCTTCAGATACTAGATGATATAACATGCGCCATGTAATGAATGCTATTACAATTCAAATTATAAAGTCATTGTTAAATAATTTAAGTATTTGTTAGTTTGAGATATTTCTTTCTACTTTATAATATAATATTAATTACTATTGATACGTAATAGTAATTAGTATTTTGAAATAGTATTAATTCTCATTCTAAATATACTTATAATAAATTTTATTTATAAATACGTTGTATTTTAATCAATTTGTCGTTAAAAGTTTTTTTTATATTCTACTATAAAATTCAAGAATATGCATACAATTATCAATATTTTTGAATTGTATTCTTTTAATTATAAGTAATATTTTAATTATATTTACTTAAACTTACATTTGATATATTGAAAAGACGATTGAAATGAATTAACTGCAGCGATGTTTGCGGTGTATAATGGATATGAATCTACAGGAAGAGTATCGAAACGTAAAGATTCCTGTTGTGTTTGGACGACAAATAAATCCATCGTGCGATATTGAGCCTGTAAAGCGTAACATCGAGTAAATATGTAGTCGAGAGAAGTGTATTTGAATTTTGGCAACATATACATAGCGCTATTAACAGCTGATATTAACATTTGGTCGGTTATATTATAAAGTTTAAAAATGTAGTGTACTAATAGTAAGAATATAAAAAAACCTGATTCAAAATATCGGCTGCAAGAAATGTAATAAATCCTTCCTTTGACCACAGAAGCACATCACTGTACCAACAAAATATCGTTTCACGCGCTATTAAGTTTGCCACTTCTATTTTACGGACATTGTGATCTATTGTATTATTATAAATAACATCTTCTTCCCTGAAAAATGTTTTAAATATTTAAAGTATACCCAAAATTTTCATTATAATTATGCAATAATCGTATAATTATGTTTAATAAAAAATAATTTTAAAGGCAAATCAGTTATAAATTCTAAAAGTTAAATCTGAATTTGACAAGATAAAAAATCTTATATTTAAATAACTTTGTGTTTTTAATGAACTATATATTATATTGTGAATAAAATAACTTAGTAATAACTATTAACTTACACATTTTCATAGAATTAATTTTAGGATAGAAAAGAAAAAGTGTTTCGAGCATTTTTGCATGAGTAATATTATGTGTGAAAATGTGTATAAGATTTAAAATGATAAGAATTTTGATGATTTTTCAATATTATTGGTGGCAAGAATAAGATTTTATAGCATATACCTTATTTGTAAAACGTAAAACGCAGTTATTTTTTATACTTTTAATAATAAAATCTGAATTGAAGTTTTAGTTTAAAGAAAGATAAAAGTATTTTATCAAAAAATGATACAAGAGTGATATATTTCAGTTGTTTTTTAATAATCTTACCAATATTAATATGCATATTTTTTAATTTTAAATTATAAATGTATATAATAATTCAATTTGATTTTAATTTTTGCAATATTAATGAATATTACCTTAATAGAACGAATCCCTGTGGCCTTACGTCACTGTATTGAAAGTTTTTAATTACAACATAATCTATTTTTGATATATTTGTTATACTTTTTTGTTCCAAACGGTACAAGACATCTTTGACAATGTCCTTTGCAAATTGCATCTGTTCTACTGCCTCCATTCTATACCAAAATTTGACATTTTTGTCAGAAGTCGAGAAATAACTGAATTTAATTATTTCAATCATCACAATTGTTAAACGTTGAATGGATATTGAATATGATTCGTCAATGTAAGTCCACATCATGTCATTCACATCTTCAAATTGCTTTCGTATCGACATACTCGACAAAAATGTGTAGTTTTTATGATGCAAGATAATAATCTTAAAAGTTGATTTAAATGCAGGCTCGTCCCAACATGGAAATAGTTCTTCTGCTTTTATTAGTTTAATACCTTTGTTGCGTAATCTATTTTGTTTTAAATGAATAATTAATAAAAAATTTTAAATTTTATTTTACCAAAAATTGATTATATTAACTTACAATTCTTCTTTATCTGTGTAGAAAGATTCGAAATAATCTCCGCCATCTAATATGGTTTGCACATATATCATTTGTAAGATATACGTACCAAGAGGTAGAAAAAGCATTGATGACTTGATGAAATCCAAAAAAATGTACGTTTTATTAAGCGGTTTATTGATAAATGAAAAATTCGGAATTCTGATTATTTTATTATGAATGTCGTCAAACAGGCTAACGCTTACTATACTGAAAATCCTTGAAGTCATTATAGTTATATTTTTTGTTATACCTTTAATTTGGATCTTAATATTGCATTCTCCAAAAAAGATATTTTTGGATACTTCAAAATTTAGTTTGACATTATAATGCAATGGTATTATTACAGGAGCATAGCTATCCAACACATTCTTATAACGTTCAGTGTCACTTTTAGCAAATTTTTCAGTAAATAGTATAATTATCATTAAAATTAATCCGACGTTTAATAAAATATGTCGAAATGCCATACTAATTTCCATTTAAAGTATCTGCAAGAAGTACTTCTTGATTAGAGAAACACATACATTTGACATATATATAAGAAAAACAAAGATTATACAGCAACTATTGTAGTTAATCGTATTAAAGCGGTGTAAGATTTTTATGAAAAATGGTTAAAAGGAAGAAAAATTTTTTCTGATAGTAGTAAAAAGAAACGAAATTTTAAATATAAAAAGTTATATTCCATCTTACAAGCAACATAATTTGTTTAATTGTTTTTAACATAATTTTTTTTTAATATAAAACCAAAAAGGTTATAATTATGTTAAATTTATACCCAGACAACACAACATATCCAAAAGACGTCCAGAGGGTATCCCGAAGACGTTTTTGGGACGACAGGACATCCTCTGGATATCTTTTGGATGTATTTTGGACATGTGTGCTGTCTGGGACATAATATTAGAAACGCGATAAATGAAAAAAAAGCAATATTTAATAGTATAGAATATTATAGTTAATTCTATAATAAAATCGTCTTTACAATATTTCAAATAATTGAATAACTTTTTACTGCAACTATATGTACATACATACATATGTACACTTACATATGTATACTACGGTTGAAAAAGTACAATTGTTGTTTTAATAAATTTTGCAAATATCGAAATAATTGTTTTTAAAAATGTGATATGTATTAAGTTCAAAAATTTTACACTAAAACAATTGATAATTAACTATTATATTTATCTTAATTTATGCAGTATTAATTAAAGAATTAAGTAAAAAGAAAAAAATTTTTGAATTAGTGAAAGATGTACGTTAGAATTGAAATACATGTTTTTAACAACATAAAACTGTATTTGTTGTGCTTGAGAAATTTTGAATATGTTTTTAGTGTGAAATATTTTACTCTTATGGTTACTCACCTATATAGATTTCAATAATGTATTTATTAAAATTGCAGTACTTTGTAACAATTAACAATTTGTAACAATAGTACATTTAACACCGTGAATCTTGAATTTCGAATGCCAGAAATATATAAATTTAATGACTATCTTACTGTTTCGAGAAGTCATCGAAAACTAAGAGGAATATTAGCAGCTAACGTATTAAATACATTATGTGATGTAAATAGATTGTAAGAGGTTACGCCTTAACAACACTACTAAACAATGAAGAAGCGAATGACTGTTCATATGTAATCGAATAAATTTGTGCATAAAATATATAAAGTAAATTTTGTACGTTGTTTTTAACTATTGTTAAAAGAATTGTGTAGAAAATTTTACTTTTAAACTAAATAATTTTTAGAATTACGTATATATCGAAATTTAATGTTTTTGCGGAATAATTAAATTACAAATACAATTGTTGAGAACGGTGCGAGACTGATTTGATAAAACATTCACTGCTATAACAAGTTGCACAGCGGGGGGTGCGTTGTTCGCGTTGCGTATCTACTACTACGATTCTGGCTGAGATTTGTCGCATAATTGTCAGATAAAACGACCACTTTCATATTCATCTGAAGTAACAGAAATTCTTACAAATAATATGAACAAATGTGATATTGTAACATTCAAGTATACGATTATTTTTTTATAAATACGAGATGTTTTCAGAAGATTTAGGAACAGTGAAGACTGAGCGTCTAGATCGAAGCTTATCTTCCATCGCTTTTCAATTTTCTAAAAACATTTTATATCAATAAAAAAATTTGTAAAAGAATTGTATTCTGTTTTTTAAGAAAAAGAAATTATTTGAGAAGAATATTTTAGAGACATTATTCGTTCTTAAGGAGAAAAATTATCATAAGTTAATAAAAAACGCATAAGTAGCAATAAAATCATGGTATATTTTCAACATCTTGCAAGCCCGATTTCTACAAATACCCGTGGAACTGGTGCAGCTTTTCTGGAGAGATTTTTAAGTGCCTGCACCCTGCAGAATGTCGTAAAAGTAAGAGTGTCAGATTTCCGCGAATCGGGCACGCGCCAGTCGCAATCCGGTCCAGCACCGGACGCCGGCTCATTCCGCTCGGTTAAACAATAGGAGCAGGTGATACCTTCATAAAAGAGTATGCACCGCACCGCCGCATTGCCATTCCCAATCGCATATTTACGATTCTTACATTAAATCATTAACGAGTATTACATTAAAGCATCATCTTATTCAGGATATATGAGTTTGGGAAAGAACAAAAAGTTACGAAACTTATTAATTCGAATTTAGAATTTAGTTTTTTAATAAAAATTAATATACGTTAAAATGAATTTCTTATCTTAGATTCAATATTTAGTTTTTTTTTTTTTAATTTATTCTATGTCTAAAATAATAAAAAACAAGCTTAATTTTTTGACGAAATTAATAAAAAATTAAATTTATGGCATAAATTTCGTTCTTTCTTTTTTTTTTTTGAAATATTTCTATTTACAGACAATATCTTTCTAGCATTAAAGTATGACATGTGGTCATCAGTAGTTGTTCGGTGGTCTCATTCAGTCTCTCCCACAGAGTCGATGCTGCCTACTACAGAAAGAATCTATTTACAATCTCGCCGAAGACATCGAGGAGGTGTAAACTGTGCGTTGGTCGCTGGGCCTGATTCTATCTCTTTTTTTATAGTGTTTTTAGCGTTGGATAATAAGAAAAAGTGCTTGAAACAATTCGAAAAACTGGAAAGCTTTCTCCTGTGCACATGCGGGCCGAGCGACGCCGGGAGGTCTCTCGATGCCTCAGCAGGAGCCCGAAGGGACGGTAATCCACATGTCAGACGTATCGAAATACGTAATCCTGCTTTCAACAACTTTGATTTAAATTATCTTAAGAATCCGAGAATTTCCTTGCGAGTAAAAGAGGAAATGTTAAAGATATTACCGATGGATTAAAAGTAGCTTAATTTAGACGCATAAGATATTTTTAATATATGATTATTTTAGCAAAAACAAGATGGAGTTTTTCACTTATTTAGAGTAAGCTTGTATTTTTCAACATACAAAATTGTAAATATAATGTCTTTTTTTAACGATAAATAGTGGTGAGTCAATTATTAATTAATTTAAATATTATATAATATTATTATATTTTTGAATTTATCAATGTAATGTGATTATAACAACATACAGTTAATCTTGTACAATTAATTATGTCACGAGAATTGAATTGAGAATTAAAGACTGAGAGTTAGAAGCAAAGAGTTCAGAATTGAGTTCCGCGACTGACGCGACTCTTTTCTCCCTCACTGAAGACGCTTTCTTGAAACGGAAAAAAGGCCGATCGCTTCACAAACAATCAATCCAGCTTATGTAGGTCAAAGAGCGTGATATCAGTTTACGACCGCCAACCGCGATAGCAACAACCACCGCGCCAACATCGTCTATTTATACGGCGCCGGGCTTTTTGTCAGTAGCGGGGTGGCTCTGTCCTAAACATCACATCCGCCGAAATGTGTGCTTCCTTCTCGCTGACCGGGAGAAGGAGGACCGCGAGGGACCGGGAGGCGGCGGCGGCGGCGGCGACGAGACGAAACGAGAGGAAACCACGACAGGAACCACCGCCTCGGCGGCTTCAAACATCCGCTGCACCAGCCGCCGCCAGATCTCCCGTTTACCCCCTGCCGCCTCAGCTCGCGCTCAAAAAGACGCACGCGTTTCATTTCCCCTTTTTACATCGGAAACGAAAGGATGTGTCGGATGTGTTTTCACCCGCGGTCCTTTCTCCCGACGCTCTCCCGTCGTTTCCGCGCCGTTTCCAACTCTTCTCGTTGACATCTCGTTCTGCGAGCGACACAGCCGAGTCTTTAATTAATTAATAAACTTATACGTACGTTTGTATACATATATTTTTAATTAAAAACTCGATAGAGTAAGAATCCTCAAATTTGGACACCGTGCTCAACCACGCAAGTTCTTTAAGGGTCACGAATAGACTTTCTCGAGCGATCTTGGCTACATCGAGGAAAAGGGGGTCGCGAGGTTACACCTGGACCAGGACGATCGGACACGTCGATCTTCCTCGAGACGGAAAGCAAGAAGGGGAATGACCAATGAACACGACACGCATTGTGCCAGACCCACATGCGTGCGGGTCCGGGCGATAGCAGCAGCGGAGCAGCTCGTCGAATCACCAGCTGCCGATTCGCCGAGTCGACTCCTGGAAGCACGGGAGTCGATCTAAAATTAGCGGCCCAGGCATGGGCACCCCCGCCTAGCCCTTACACAGGCCACGTCACGGGCATGCACTCGGCTACTTCGACAGAGAAAGGAGAGAGAAAGAGAGAGAGAGAGAGAGAGAGAGAGAGAGGAGAGGAGAAAAAGAGAGAGAGAAAGAGAATGTGTGTGGAGAAAAAAGGGAAACAATAATAATCGCAGCTTGCCCGGCACGAGTTGATCACGCGCGAGATCTAGCAGCTGGAACTCGTCGACGTACGGCACGGTCTTTGCTCCAGAAACAATCGGCAAAAGCTTACATTAGCGAAATTGAAAAGAAAACATTCATCCATATTGCGAAATAATTTTGAAAAAAATGAGGAGTCTACTTTTTGTGATATAGTATTTTTTCTTTTATTTTTAATTCATAAAGATTTAATTAAAGGACAAATATCTGCTTCATATAGATACTTTAATTTGTGCTAATGCCGCGCGATTTGACGTTAGAAATGATCATCTAATTCTGATTCTTTAATTGTCTTAAATTTCTGAAATACATTAAGATGTTACGAAATGTATTAAATACTGAGCTTAAATTATACAATTATATTTGAAACATAATTGAAATATTAAATGATTTATTATATTCTCGATTCTGATATTTTTCAACATAAAAATACGGATCTCTCGCGATACAACTTGAATAGAATTTCTCTTTTTATCGCAGTACAGGACAGGAAGTGCCGCACGGGTTAGCAATGAACCACATGGCTCATGGATGAATGAATGGTGTAATGAACGAAGTCGTGCCACATACGACAAGATAACACGTTACTTCAATGTTCTCGAAAAAAACTTCCCAATGAAGAAGAACTGATTATCATCATACACACGACAATATACCTAATCAGTTTAGTATTCACTTTCACTGCGTTCATTAAAAAAATTGGCCACTTAAAATATTGTCATTTAAGTGTAAAAATTCACATAACAATATACTATTCTTTTATGCTTAATTTATTTATAAATTACATTTGTAACCAATTCTCATTACTTAAAACTGTCCTTTTTCTGCTTTTTTTGTTATTTAGAATAACAAATTATAATTATCCAATAAATCGATTTAAAATGAAAGATTGCGACAGACGCAATGTGCGGAAAGGATCTCGGTTTAATCTGAAACGCCCGAATGTCCGGAGGGTTCAAGGACAATCATAAACCCTTTCGCGCGCGACTCGATTAATCGCGCTTCGCGGATCTTCCTAGTTCATTGTCCCGGGTGTACCTCGGGTAGGCCGCGTAACCCCGAAACGGGAGATCCTTTGCGTACTCCTCGTAGGAGGAACGAACCCCATTCCGCGGTACATCTGCGTCGAGCGGATGCAGGCTGCATTTTATGGCCGCCCAATGCACAACCGATTCATATTCGTGCACCCGCACTCACACCCTCCATCGTCTACACTGAGCACGCGGTACAACGACTTCTATAATTAGATTTCCTTCCTTCTTTTGGGCTTAAACACCTTCGCAGCCGCGATCTCCTCTCGATATCCGCGAATCAAGATTAAAGAGATTACGAGAAATACATTAAAATATTTAAGTCATAAATTAGTTTAAAGATATTTATAATTTTTTAAATAGACAGATACTCCAAAAATTTTTATTAATTTTAATTAAAGTTGTTCTTTTAGTTTTATTTAAAAAGTGACTATTAGTAATTTTATCATAAATTTATTGTTCTGTTTATCAAGTGTGTTGCTATTTTATATCGCAAGTTGATCAGCGATCCACAGGTTTGGATCTTGAATAGGACTCGAAAGAGCCATGCGCTTGACGTGTCATAGGTTGCACTTTGGCTATTTCGAACAGGTTGCGCTCCGTATCTATTTTTCGATCATTGGCATCGGCCGGTTG